TCTCCCTCTCTCTCGTCTTCCGTTGCCGTTTTCCTTATCTTTGGCTGATTCTCACGTCGCTGGCAACACGCATGTCGCTCTATCGCCTTTGCATTTACGCCGTACTCGTCTCGTCACGAGAGAGACACTTGTGAAATTTTTCAATTTTTCACACCCGCGAAATAATCCGCGGATAGAGCGAGGAGGCAACGAAACGTTGCCTCCTCGCGAGGACGATCGATCGATATCCTCGCGTGATCGAAAGAAAGAGAATGCAGCAAGCGTATCACACGCATCGCTCGCTTTTCCGTAAAAAACGAGAAAGATAAAGAACCGCACGGATGCCGCGTGCTCTCGCAATTTTCCCGCCCATTAGACACTCCGGCCGTTTCCTCTTGGAATGTGCCGCTTGTTGATCGATGAGCCCTGTTAATGGCGATACATTTATATATTCGCGCCTCGTCATTCGTGACGACGACCGCGGCGGCACTTGGCCGGCCGCAGGCTCGCGAATCCGAGGTGAGAGATAGGGGTGAGAGCCGGAGGGACGAATCGCGCGCGCGCGCGCGCTAACTAACAATGAAGGACGTGGATGCGTGGCCGAGACAGGTCCGGGCGGGCCATTGTATCCCCGGCACAATGCCTGCTCGGGGAGCAGTATGTGCGCCATAATAATCTGTCACCCCGTATAGCACCGCGTATGCCGCATAATACGTGCCCCACGGACGGGAGAGACGACGGGGTTCACCGCACCCCATCCGGTTCTCGGCAACGAGTGACGTCACGGGCTCTTGCGTAGCACGAGGCGAGGAGCCGTGGCGAGTCGGGCAAGTGCGCGACTTGGAATGACGGGCTTTCGTTGCGCATTGATCTTCGGGAGGGTTTGGACAAGACGAATGCTTGCTTGCTTGCTTTCCTCGCTGTTCGCGAGAATCGTCTCTCCGAGAGGAACGGTCATTCTTGTCATCAACACACGCATCTCCGCGAGAGAGAGAGAGAGAGAGAGAGAGAGAGAGAGCAGCCTATCCAATTTGTCACACGCTTATCACCCGGGCCCTTTGTCTCTCTTACGCGGGGGAAAGTTTATCCCGCGCGCGGATCGATCGTGGATAATTATATTCGTCTCGTTACCGATCGCATCCGCTAATAATTCGTCACAGTCACCGGTCGTTTAACAGCGCAACACGAGATTTCGGTGACGCGCGTTTTACCATGGTCTGTACTCGCCCGTTCACCCGACACTCGTTCACTCACCCCACCTCCGATCGACAAGGTGATGAAAGTCGGTGATAGAAGAGAATAGTTTCGATTATTTCTTAAACTATATCTAATCTATTTTCTTCGCTCCTCTCTCGAGATACACTCACCGGTGTCGAGTCGCGACGACACGAGAGGGACACCAGAGAGATGATAAGGAGGAAATGACGCGCAATCGTCACTGTCTCGCGCACTGTGTGCGCGAACGTTACTAGCGGTATTAGGAAGGTGAGCCTCGAATCAGGGCAGTTGGCAAATGTCCAGTTTAGTTGGATCACCACCGCGAGGAGTTTCATCGAAAGTCGGCTCGCGTTCGGGTCACGTTAGCCGCTCGGGTCGGCCGCTCGAAAGAAGTAGCTCGATTTTCGATGGCGCGATCCTCCCGCGCGATTTCTCCCGATGAAATTCCTCGCGTTCGCGAGCGGAGAAGAGCGCCGACGTGTTCGAGCGATTGACGCAAGATCACCGGCGCGGGCGCGGCGAGCAGATGCTTTCGTCTCGTGCAGTCGCTTTCGGTCGTCGGTTCGGGCGAAAATCGTCGCCCGGCGACGTGTCGCTCGCGTGATTTCTTCTCGCGCGATCCGATTTCGAACCGCTGTCGAAGCGGTATCGGCGCGCCTCTCCCCCGCGCGGCAAATTGGCTCGAAATATTTCTGCGAGAGACACTCAGCTTCGCGCGGCTCAGCGGCGCAGCTCTCGCAGCTGCGCCGGAGAGAGCAGCGCGCGCACGCGGCGCTTAATTACGGCTGCTCGATTTCTCGATTCTTCCCCGGCGCGGCTCGCTGCGCGCGAGAGCGCGCCGCGCTGGTCCACCGCTCGTTATTTCTCTCGAACGGGCTCGTCTCCACGTGCAACCTGTCCTGTACACCTCCGAGACGCCCAACGAGGTAGAAGCGAATCGGTTACGCAAGCTGCTGCCTGCGAAATTCCAGACGGAGACGCGCAAGATGCAATCTGCGCGATATGGGATGTGTACGCTCCTTTTCTCCTCACCCCTCTCTCTCTCTCTCTCTCTCTCTCTCTCTCTCTCTCTCTTCTCTTTCAATCAGTCAGAAATTACACGAGATCCATCTTACGCTCGCGTTCCTCGCGAGAAACTTTGAGAGAAAATCTCACCGCATGTAACACGCGCCACCGTACTCCGCAATTGCTTCCCCTCCTCGTCGACGACCCTCGCCTCTCTGTTACGCAATATACGTATATTGCTTTGACATTTATCCAGCCGAACGATCTCTCGCGGGCCACCTTCGGCGGCGCGTCCACG